CTTGAATTTTGTTATCTTTACTGCAATTAAGCTTAATATGAGAAAATTTAGACAAAAAAGAGAATAGCAATCAAAATTATGAAAAAATATAAAATAGTTAAAAATGTAAAGTGTTACATTACTTGAAAGTTAGAATGTGGTTTGTGATTATTTAATACGGGTATTTTGGTATATCTGATTATTATAATAATGGCACATTTGTAATATTTTAGCAACATGTGTCTTTCTTCATCATTCATTAAAGAATAGGTAAGGTGTAATTTAAAAAATACGGTATATAAAGTATAAATACATTAGATATAGAGGAGGGTTAAATTCATCTATAGTGTCATCATGACCACCTAATTTTATACTTAGTATTACTCGATCACCCAATTTGATTTTATTTCATTATGACTACTAAATTTCGTATAATATTTCGTTATGGTCATCCAACTTCTTTTCACCATTTTCACTAATTTTTAAAGGGGTAAAACGATGTATTTGTATTATATATAAAAAGTAAATTTTAAAAAAATAAAATAAAACAAAAATTTATTAAAAAACATTACTCAAAAAATAAAATAAAATAAAAACTTATTTTAAAAAAACTTTTTAAAATAAAATAAAACTCATTTTTTAATTTAAAAAACATTATTTCAAAAAATAAGATAAGATAAAAACTTATTTTAAAAAAACGTTTTTAAAATAAAATAAAGACTAATTAAAAAAAAATTAGTTAGAAAAATAAAATTAAAAAAAATTGTTTTAAAATAAAAAAAAAAAAACCTTATTTTGTTTTTTAAATTTATTTTATATATAATGCAAAGTTACAAATTTACTCCTTATAAAATTAGTGAAAATGGCGAAAAGAAGTTTGGAGGCCATGGCGAAACATTATATGAAATTGGGTGGCCGTGGTAAAATAAAATCAAATTGGGTGGTCATAATGACACTAAGTATAAAGTTGATTGGTCATGGTGAAATAAAATCAAATTGGATGATTATGGTGGCACTAAATATAAAGTTAGGTGGTTATCGGTGAATTTAACCCTACAGAGATGTGCTTTGGAAATTTCCCTAATGTGCAAATACAAAAAGGAACCCTTAGAATATTTTTCCTTCCTAAAATTTAAAGAATTGTAAAATTATTCAAAAACTTAAAAATTATATAAATATACGTGAGTTTTTCAATATCAACTTATTTAAAAACTTGTGTATCATCAATTTAAGAATTGAAAAAGGATCGAATTTTATTATATTTATGAATTGATAAACATATTTTTTGATAGAAATTTTAGTTAAAAGCTTAGTGCTTGTTTGGTATGGATTTTTGGGGGAAAAATTGATTTTTGAATAGTGATATGATGGGAAATGCGTGGTTGAAAAAGAAGAAAAAATTATTGATGTGATGGAAAATATTATTTTATTGAAGAATGTGTGGTTGAAAATGAGAATTGATTTACTGTAGAAAAATTTAATCCCTCCCAAACAGGACCTAAATTACATTACTTGAAAGTTAGAATGTTGTTTGTGATTATTAAATACGGGTATTTTGGTATATCTGATTATTATAATAATGGCACATTTGTAATATTTTAGCAACATGTGTCTTTCTTCATCATTCAATAAAGAATAGGTAACGTGTGAATTTAAAAAATAAGGTATATAAAGTATAAATACATTAGATATAGAGGAGGGTTAAATTCATCTATAGTCACCCAACTTTATATTTAGTGTCATCATGACCATCTAATTTTATACTTAGAATTACTCGATCACCCAATTTGATTTTATTTCACTATGACTACCAAATTTCATATAATATTTCGTTATGGTCATCCAATTTCTTTTCACAATTTTCACTAATTTTAAAAGGGGTAAAACGATGTCTTTGTATTATATATAAAAAGTAAATTTTAAAAAAATAAAACAAAAATTTATTAAAAACATTACTAAAAAAAAAAAAAACTTTTTAAAATAAAATAAAACTCATTTTTTTAATTTAAAAAACATTATTTCAAAAAATAAGATAAGATAAAAACTTATTTTAGAAAATATTTTTAAAAAAAAGGTTTTTAAAATAAAATAAAAACTAATTTAAACAAAAATTAGTTAGAAAAATAAAATAAAATAAAAAATTATTTTAAAATTAAAAAAACTTTTATTTTTTGTTTTTTAAATTTATTTTATATATAATGCAAAGTTACAATTTTACCCCTTATAAAATTAGTGAAAATTGCGAAAAAAAGTTGGGAAGCCATGACGAAACATTATATGAAATTGGGTGGCCGTGATGAAATAAAATCAAATTGAGTGGTCATAGTAACACTAAGTATAAAGTTGATTGGTCATGTTGAAACAAAATCAAATTGGATGATCATGGTGGCACAAAATATAAAGCTGGGTGGTTATCGATGAATTTAACCCTACAGAGATGTGTTTTGGAAATTTCCCTAATGTGCAAATACAAAGAGGAACCCTTAGAATATTTTTCCTTCCTAAAATTTAAAGAATTGTAAAATTATTCAAAAACTTAAAAATTATATAAATATACGTTTGAGTTTTTCAATATCCCCATTCCGTCTACTCGTTTATACTACACCATCATTCAGAGGTTGGAATGAGGCATTAGAAGCTCTCAAACTCGTAGAACAACAGCTACGTTTTCGATTCCAAAAAGTTTTCATGTCGACAATGGCTAGAGGGGGCAGCTATAAGGTATGGAAGGAGATAATTCTCCTTCATTTAGGGTGCATGGACATTGATTATGCTATCAGGAGACAAACTGACTATTATTGAAACTAATACTCCAGAAGAAAAGACTATTTATGAACAATGGGAACGATCTAATTGCCGTAGTGTGATGGTCATGAAGACCAAAATCTCTACTGGTATTCAAGGTTCTGTAGATCAACATGACAATGTCAAGGCATTACTGAAGACAATTGATGAATAGTTTGTGATTTCAGATAAAGCACTTGCTATTACCCTGATAATAAAGTTTTCATTCTTAAGGCTTACTAGTGTAAGAGGTGTGAATAAGCACATCATGCACATGAGGGACATTGCTGCTCAGCTGAAAAATCTTGAGATTGAAATGTCCGATTCTTTCCCTGTGCACTACATACTAAACACTCTTCCGCAGCAATATGGACCCTTCAAAATCTCTTATAGCACGCTTAAGGACAAATGGTAATTAATGAACTTTTGGCCATGTGTATTCAAGATGAAGGAAGGTTGGCTATGGAAATAGGTGAGAGTGCATTATTGGTGACGTGTGAAAAAGACTAGAACCAAGGAAAGAATCATGTCCAAGCCAAACAAAAGAGGAAAGGTAAAATAATTTCCCAAGGTGAAATCAAAAGGAAAATAAGTGATTCTTCTGTAAAAAGAAGGGACATATGAAGAAATATTGCACCAAATTTCAGAAATGACTTGAGAATAAGGATAAATCAATCGTTCTTGTTTGTTATGTATCTAATATGGTTGATGTTAATCATAATACATGGTTGATTGATTCTAGTACTACAATTCATATTTCAAATACCTAGCAGGGTATGCGAAAGCTAAGAAAGTCAGTGAGAAGAGAGCAATTCATCTTATTAGGAAACAAGATGGGTTCAAGTGTGAAGGTTTTCAGAACATTTAATTTAGTTTTAAATAATGACCATGTTTCAGAATTGGGAAAGACCTTTTGTGTTCCAAGTTTTTCAAGAAATTTGTTTTCAATTTCAAGACTTGTACTTTTTGGATATTCTTCTATTTTTTCAGATACATCTTTCAGTTTGTTTTATTAATCTAATCTTGTGGGGGGGGAAGAGTTTTTCAATATCAACTTATCTAAAAACTTGTGTATCATCAATTTAAGAATTGAAAAAGGGTCGAATTTTATTATATTTATGAATTGATAAACATATTTTTTGACAGAAATTTTAGTTAAAAAGCTTAATTTACAAATGTCTAACCCATAAGACTCTCTTCCAAACTCGACTATAAAAAAAATAGATTTCGAGAAAAAATTATTATGATATCGAAGGCAAATACAAATTCTACAAAATACTTTAAATCGAATTAATTTAAAATTAGTCTTTAAATATTTGTATGTTTTTCATAATTAATAATTACTTTGGTGGTTTGAGAATCCTTCAAGCTAATCTTTGATTGATTAAGATTTTGTTACCTGTCCGATTTCCAAAGTGCATTTCACTAATTTGATTTTTCGAAAATATTCCAAACTATCAAACTTTACACGGAAAAGAACTCGAATAAAATTGAGAAAGACATTTTTTAAGAATAATTCTATTCATTCATTCTAAACAGCCGTCTATGTGTCAATTAAATGACTTGAAATGATCTAACTTCTTATTTGTAAGGATATGGTTGATATCCAATCACTTAATCGATATCTAAACTGTAGATAATAAGCAGACTAGATAAATAACATTACTCTTTTTTTAAAGTTCTTTTTTCACTACATTTGTTTATAAAGAATAGTCGAGTAATACATATGTTACAAAGAAAATCGAGACTATTTTTTACTTTTACCTTTTTAGGTCAATTTGAGTCAATTTGTTGTGTAACAAAAAAGGAACACAAGGAGAAGAACAATTTGTTCTATATCAAAATGGTACAAATTTCCTTTGCTGCAAAATGGTGCAGGGTTGGAGGAGGTTTGCACCATTTTTTTGGGTGCATTTTGATTCTAGTAACTTTTGAGTCAGTTACAATTCTTTTTGACCACTTCATTTGATTCACTACTAGATATACTAGAAGATTCAAAGCAATTCGAATCTTAATCAATGCAAGTTATGAAACAATTTTGATAAAGGATTGAGACGAAGAACCAACAAATTTTCTGATAGGTTAAATGTGCATCCTATCCTACCTTCTTCACAATCATTTGTTTTTTTATTTACAGAATAAACACAGAAATATCAACAGCAAATTCAAAAGTATGATGAAAGTCATAAAATCATAAATTAAGAGGAGCAAATTGTGCAGAGAAAGGAGCAGGAGTTTTAACTGAGATCAATCTCGACCCTTTCAGGGTTTGGCCGTTCGATCTGATTTTCAACAAGCTCGACGCCTAGCTGTCCTTTGTCACCAGCACCAAATGCATATAGCTTACCGGATTCTGTGAGCGCAAAAGTGTGGGCGTTCCAGTATATGGAATTCGTGAGGCTTATTTGAACAACCCTTTCATTCACTTGCTTTAGTGACGTTACGAGCTCGGGGCTTAAGACATTTACTTGCCTATTTTCCTGAAATTTACACATCAGAATGAAAAAATAACATGGCATGGGAATCTGTTAGTGTAGATGAATTTGTCACGGATTTATAAAACAAGAATAAATTAGCTTTATTTCCAGTAAATATGAGATTGGCTGCATGAATCCTTATGCGCCATTCAGCCATGTTCGTTATTACTACTGCAGATCGTCCGGAACATTTTAGATCGTCGCAAAAACATAACCCAATCACTCATTTTGTGCTTTCTTAATTTATCCTTTCAATCAGCTCCACCTCCATTTGTTGGTGTATATTCTCAGTTTCTTATCTTTTCCACATATAATACTTTAACCAGTGGCAATATAAACCAAAAGATGAAGTCAAAACAAGAATTATCTAGAGCCGATAATCCATGATCTTGAGGAGCTCGATAAAGCCGAAAGTTAAATAAGAACAAAATTTATGGCGAAGAAGTAAAGGGCACAAACTAATATTGACTTATTGAGGTTCGAATTCCTAAGATGGTATTAATAGCTGGAAACCTGAAATATAAATGCAAAGATCCTGGCAGCTAATTTGCTCGGGAAACAAATAAAAAGTAAAAACAAAGTTCAAGACAGACCTGTTCATCTTCAGCCACAGTGTTATGTCCAAGACTGGAAGATTCCCCACACCCAAAGGAATACACATCGCCATTGTCTGAAACCACAAAAGTCGTGTAATCCCCCGTAGCAACATGGACAGCTTTGACATTGCTTAGTGCTTCAACCACCTTCGGAATGGATTCCGATTCTTCATTCCCATGGCCCAAGCATCCATAACGCCCCCAGCCCCAGGTGCAAACCCGTCCATCCTTTCCCACGACTGCAGCATGCCAAGCACCGGCTGCAACCACAACAGGTTGAAGATTCAGAGTCTGGAACTGCTCGATTAATCTTGGTAGCTTCTCGTCGGTTCTTGTACCATGCCCAAGTTTTCCACCCAATCCACAACCAACAGAGTATACTGACCTGATATATCAAATCGAGAGAACTTTTAAGTAATAATCAAAAAAGATCACGATAATGCACGTGCACCTATACATGGTAATCGAAAAAGAGTCAGTGAAGCAAAGTCAGTGCGATTCTACTTGTAGTCGATGGAAAGCCCGGACATAAAAATGCTAGAAAACATATAAAAATGGATAAAATTCGGTAATGAATTATTTGACTATTAACCCGTACCCATTTTGGGAATACGGTGCATGTTCCAGAGAGATTAGAAGTCATAAAAACATGTGCATTTTGAAGCATTAACAATTATACATAACACGGGCATTTAAGCTATTAACACCACTTTCAGAATTAGATTACTGATGATTATATCTACACACACAAAGAAAACAAAGAGGGAGCTCACATGCCACTAGGTTGACAAGCCAAAGCAAGGAGGTAGCAATATCCAGCAGCAATTTGAACTACTGGTATATTTTCAAGCGGCCCCAACAGTGGACGTGGTTCGAGATCATTCGCTTCAGTTTGATGGCCAAGTTTGTTTTCATTTCCCCAAGAAAATGTGTAAACCCTGCCTTCTCTCGATAATACAGCCGTGAAGAAATTTCCAATAGCAGCTTGCACAATGAAAATGTCTTTTAAAGATTCAACTAGCTGAGGTGTAGTTACTAATTTATTTCCTAGAGGCCCAAATTCGGCATCCCCAAAGGAATTTTTCCCAAAGGCATAGACCTTTCCCATATCACTTATCAGCATTGTTCGGCCAGCCCCTGCTGATGCTTGAATGATATGAATGCCTTGCAGAGATCTGCAATACAAGAAGTTCTATTAAATTCCGTCTCATTTCTTGCTTTCACAGCATCAAGTTTACTACAGTAATGTAAAATTGCAACCTAATTAAGCGAGGCCGTGACTCCTCATCCGTGGTTCCATGTCCAAGCTGTCCAGTGTTGTTAGAGCCGAAAGAGTACACAGCTCCTTTAGCAGTCACAGCAATACTGTGACCTGGACCGGCTATTGCCTGCGACTTTTCCCTCCTGGTACATGCTTCTCCAGCCATCAGGAATCTTAAGACAAGTTTCCACGAGCCCCCGCACATTTGCTTCAATTCTTGCCTTTGTTCATCAGTCATTGGCTTAAATATGGCTCTCATCCGGCACATATCAAGAGCAGCAAGTTCTGATAATGAGAGCTCGTATTCGGGGGCAAAGTGCGCAGGCTGTCTAAAGAACAAGCATGTTATCTGCACCACAAAATTAAGATTCAAATCAGCAGCATCATCAATTCTAAATCGTATACGAGGTTCAATAGCAGAATTCTAAGATTAAATACACTTGCCTCGAGTTTTGCAAGATCCTGCGGATCCAAATTACATGCAGTAAGGACATGAAGAACAATAGAAGGATTAGCAGATAATGGGAATTCCCCCGGGCTAGCATTTCCAAAGCAATGCCGTTGCTGCCTCTGAAATGTTGCTATGGGAGAGGTGACAAGAGCAGTAATTGTTTGCTCGGGAATGTTATGGTATTGAACGCTAGACGTTCCCCTAATAGTGGCATCCATGGGCACTGCTCAACTCTGCAGTGCCCTCCCTAGGCACAAGCGAAGATATAAATTCTGAAAATCATAAAAGCGCATCTAGGTTACTCCATTTCATTCCATATTCACTATATCATTTTATTCCAATCAAACGTCAATTTTCAACTTATACATCATGATCACGAGTATGTACCTTTATCTAGATTAAAAAACTTTCAGAGATTACACCTGCAAGCAAACACACTATAAATATCAAAACATCAAACTGAAAAAAATTAAGCAAGAGTTCGCAATGTCAAAAAATGCCACACCACTTCATAGAGTAAACTAACATAGCAGTGAGGATCAGAAGACCGCATATAAAGAAAAATTATGTAAATAAAAATAACTTTTCCATCTAACAGAACCATATCAAGCTTAGCTAATTCATAGCACATCCAATTGGAAGCATCAAAATTAAGTAGTCTCCAACACGAAAATGATCGAGATGTCAATGGAAGAAAGCAACAAATCAACAAAAATAGCAGTCGGGGATCAACAGATATAACGAAAGGACAAAGATGTGAACAAAAAAAAAAGATTCGCAATCGGATCAAACCATATTTCAAGCAATCTCTAGAACCCAAAACTTGAAAAACATAAATAAGCAATCTGATATGCCATAACAAGGAATACTGTAGCATAAAGAATTCCATAAAGGAAATGAATTTTGGCACTAAAAAAGGCAAAATTCTGATCCCATACACGATCGAGACAAAATTAATACGAAATTAAGGGAAACCCCATCAAAGAGCAAAATCAGAAACAACCCAGAACGGAGATTACATGAACAATCAAATTTATATATCAATTGACCATAAAAAGAGTGTGTTTAACATCCAACATGTACAAGGATATCTTGATGATCGTTGAACAAGTATCATCCATTATAAAACCCAAAATAATAAAGTGGAGTTATACAATAACTCTCAAAATCAAAACGTGCAAGTTCTTGAATATGTACATTATGATCATTGATAGATCGAGTGACAAAAATACAGAAACAAAGTTTACATGTTACAGAGGCCCAAGATTCCTCAGAAACCAGATGACATCTCAAATTTTTGCAGAAAAATCTAAAAAAAAAAAAGTGATAAAAACATATAAAGAAATAGTCTTGAATTGGGTATCTATCTGATTTCAGATTTTTCGGGGGAAAAATTGCTTTTTATTTTTTGGTTTGTAATTTGTTTAAAAGATGATGATGATTCAACGGGTAAGAAAATGGATTGCTGTGGATGCTTTATTGAAGAACTCTGAAGCCTTCAATTTCTCTCAATCGGATGGTTTCTATGCGTTTATAAAGGAAACATGAGAGATGAGGTCCAAATTGGTGACAATTTTGATGCAGCTCATTTTGCTTTATGGCTTTCCCACGAGTTAAATATTTTATTACTCACTGAGCTACTTTATCCTTTACTCATTCAACATTAAAATATTTTCATGCGGTTACTTAATTTTAACATATTATATTTCAACACTCACTCACCTGCCATATTTTATAAGTCGCTAAATTTTAACACATTACACTCCATCACTCACTCATCGTATTTCATTAACATATTACATTACATCACTCACGCACCATGTTTTTTAAGTCACTGAACTTTAAAATGTTTTCGATTAGCCACTGAATTTTAACTCGTTGCACTATATCACTCACTCATCGTGTTTCATTAGTCTATGAACTTATATTTCCGTCACATTTTACTCACTTAACTTTAAAATGCCTTTGAGTAGTCACTGAACTTCATAATGTTTCTAAGTCAAATTGATTTTCTATGATTTTTGACCTAGATCAAAAAAATAAAATAGAATAAATATCGACTAGATAATGAAATTCTCAATTTAAGATGACAAAATTGATATTGGTTAAGAAGATATAAGGCCTGTTTGATTGGCATTATTTTCCAGAAAATTAGGAAAATATTTTCTACTTTTCACTTTTTTGGCTGTTTGATAAGCGAAATTTTCTACGAAAAATATTTTCCCCCTTTAGCCCACACATGTGCATTTTCCAACTTTAAAAGGTGGGAAACAATTTTCCACGCTGGCTAGAAAAAAAAATCATTTTTTTTTTTTTTGCAATGGAAACAAATGTCATAATCAATGATAAAAAAAAAAATTCACTTTAATGGACAATTTCTATGTAAAACAAAGTCAAACGAATACTAAACTTTGATGAAAAAATGATTTTTTAGGAAACAAATTTTTTTCTCTTTTCTTTTTTTACTTTTTGGTAATGGAAACAAATTTTATAACCAACTGTGGAAAATAAAATCACTTTAATGGACAATTTTCATGTAAAACAAAGTCAAATGAATAGAAAATTTAAAAATTTTTCGGGTGAAAAATTATATTAATTAAACACACTTGAAATCATTTTCCCTACAAAATATTTTCTAAGCAAATCTTTTCCCCGTAAAACATTTTTTTTCCACCTATTTTCCACCATTGCAATCAAACGCACCCCAAGGGTCCGTTTGATTGCAATTGTGGAAAATGGATGGAAAGAAAATGAATTTCAGGGAAAATAATTGTCTAAAAATTGTTTTGCGTGGAATTGTTCATTAATTGTGTTTGATTGGTATAATTTTTCACCTGAAAAATGTTGAAAGTTTAGTGTCTGTTTGACTTTATTTTTCATGAAAATTGTCAATTAAAGTGATAATTTTTTTTACCATTGGGTTTAGAATTTGTTCCAATTGTCAATAAATAATTTTTTTTTAAAATTATCATACCGAATATCATTCGTTTGGCTTTGTTTTACATGAATATTGTCAATAAAAATGATAAATCTTTTTACCATTGTATCTAAAATCTTTTTCAATTGCCAAAAATAAATAAAAATAAATAAAAGACTAAATTGGAAAACCAATTATGGTGGGAATTGGTTTTCCCTTAAACTATGGAAAAGGCACACGTGAAAACAAAAACCTAGAAAAACAATTCCAATGAAAAGATATTGCATCAAACACGACATAAGGTTGGAAAAGAAAAACATTTTCCCACTTCCATGAAAAATAAGGCCCATCAAGCAGGGCCTAATAGTCGTCAAAAGTTATGTTCAACGGGAAAACATGATAGCTTCAAATTGACGAAAATCTTAATTTAAATCACACTCTTCCTTTACGTTGATAAATTAAAATAGATAAATCAATTCTTTATTCCGATTGTGATCGTCCATATGCATAGTAAAATAATAAGGTAGACACGTGCAACCTTATTGGCTTAAGCATCCGATTTCCTCCATGAGAGGAAGAATTAAGAAAATAAAAAATTATACCTCTGTGTTAATAATATTAATCAAGATTAACAAAATATAATTTGTAGAGTTAATAATATTAATCAAGACTAACAAAATATTTCAATTTTTAGAGTTGTCACATGGTAATTCAAGAGGAAAGAAGGGCGATGTCTTTGTGTATAGTATTTTATACTTCAATTTTATTTTATTTTTTGAATTGTTGAATTCAATAAGTAAAGTCCAATGACCAATTGAAAGTATTTAAAATTTAGTGAGTAAAGCATGACAAAAATATAAGTTTAGTGACTAATGAAACATTTAACTCCTCCACCCAATTAACCCCAAAAATTTACTCGACAGCACTCAACTTCCGTGTTTGTTTCATGTTAATCATTAATTTCATCACTCGGCTTATAATTCTATTTCAATTTGACTATTTTATTTATAATCACTATCAAGATTGACGAAATTGATGACCTTACGAGTGAAATTCTAGCAAAAATCTTTCAATATTTATATACATGTCGTTTGTTGTGGAGCCCCTCTTAGCTCTGCATCTGTTTAACAATGCACGCAAGCTTAACTTTTTTAAGATCAAAATCGCGGGATTTCTATAGTTTGACGACATTAAAATATAAGTTTGGGCTGCGAACTTCGTAAAAAAAGTTATATATTCACTTAGCATCGATAATGGTTATAGACGAAATGGTCAAGTTGAAATATAAATATAAATTGGGTGATCAAATTAGAACAAATTCCAATTTTTAAATCAATACAAAAACAATTTGTAAGTTGGGTGACATCTAGTGAAATTTCCCCTAATCCCACGTTACGAATTTTGTTATCCTGGTTACAACCTCCGTTCGTGATAATAGACAAAACAATCAAATTTTAAATTGAGAAATATACGGTTGGCTTATCAAATTTAAAAAAAAAAAAAAAAAAATTCAATTGGATAATCATCGTGAAACAAATATTTAGTTTGACCTCGTCAAATGAATTTTTTGTGTTAAATTTTTCAGTATTTATTATATTTTCAACGTCATCAACCGTTTCCTTCCGTTAAAATTAACCATTTTGACGAATGTGACAAATAAAATAATTAATTTTCAAACGATATGCAGTGACAGATAAGAAATAACTTTGCGAGCATCTTTGGATAATATACGATGAGTATTGAATTTTTTTAATCTGTATATAAAATTTCGAGATGTTTTGACATGTCAGCATCTATTATTAATGGTTGCTGATAATTTATATTACCTTAGAGTAGAAGCCTAAGCACATGGATATCAAAACCAGTGCCTCAAATGGCAAACTCAAGGAATTTTACATCTTTCGGAGTCTTCACAGTTCAAGGGTGTTAGGTCATTTCACTTTAATTTTGTCCTTCAATCGTTTGGACCGTCGAAGGAAGTTAGAATTGTAAATAATTACAAGTAACTCGGAAGTTGTATAAATACAAATTTGGACTCAAAAAGTGAATAATACCAGATAGTCTTATTATTATATTGTTCAGTACGATTTAATATTATCTTCGAAACGAGTACACAATGTTTTGTTTTCTTTACATTTAAATGCTCGAACTATTTAAACGTTGGTTGAAACCTAAGACACCTCTTGTTTTCAAAATTTACTACTAAATTGAAATTGAACTGTATTTTTTTTTTTAAATGAAAATACTTTGGGTTTGTTTGATTTGGTGTTATCTATTTTCAATTTTGTAAAATAATGAAAA